TGCCACAGCTCCATTATTCTTGCTGCTTTTATATTTTCCAAGTTCCCATAGATATTTCTACACATTTTTGCCTTAATGCAACATTTATACAGTATATTTAAATTATCTTTATCTTTAATAATTATTACCGCTTGTTCACTCTCCATCTCTTCAATGATCCCCATATTTCCATGTCGATGCCACACATTTTTCTCTGTTAACACATAAGCAGCCTCTTTTCTCTTTCTTGATTCCGCATAATATGCATTCCCTCTTCTCACTGCTTTCATTCGAGCCTCTCTCTTTTCTTTATATGCCTCAACCCCATCATTCTGAAATATAACATATTAGTACTATTCAATGACATTTCTCTATGTAAGGGCTTAGATTTAATTTTCTACATTTATCATTTAGCAACATTCAGACTCTATATCCAATTTATCTTTACCTTTCATAACTCATAACAAGTGTTTGTTCTCTGTCTCTTCAATGATCCTCATATTTCCATGTCGATGCCACACATTTTTCTCTGTTGATACATATGCTGCCTATTTTTTGTTTCTTGATTTCGCATAATATATGTTTCCTCTTCTGACTCCTTTTATTTGAACTTAACACATTAGCGATGATCATTGACTTTGACCACTGATATTAATATTCATTTATATAAGGAACACAACATACCTTTCAATCTCACTGTATTCTCCATATCTTGTTATAAAAGGCCATAACCTAAATTAATTGTATTCCTTTTTGTCTGCCTAAACCATCTCCATTTTCCGAATTTTCATTTGATCATCAAAGATTTCTATCTTGTATGTCATATGGTTAACCGACCTAGAATGTAATAGACATATACTTTACATATTTGTATCGCTGCTTTAACTTTTTCTCGCTATAAAATATAATTCTTGACATCTACGCTGATGACATTCCATGAGTCCAATAATCAAGCTCTGCTATCACTAATGAAAGGTGGAAAAACAATGGCTCGTAACCTATGCTATTTAATTATAACTAAAGGTTATGTTAATACAAATACTTACATGATTTTCGTAATGCAGGCACAACTGCATGGACACAACAATGTTTCCGGTGTTTGTTTGCAATTTTTTCTCATTTCCTACGGATTCTCCTGTTCACTTGGAGAAAAATTAATAAATCACTCAATTTCTGTGATTAACTTATGAAATTTTATAATTGCGTTGTGAAGGCGTACCTTTGCATATTTGTCGTCTGCCAGAGAAAGAAATGAATGCTGATTGTCTAATTAAAACCGCTGTTTTAGCTGAATTTATTAAAGAATGTAGAGAACTTTATGATTTGATTTATTAAAATATATTAAAATATATTGAGAGCACATAACCAGAGTTAGTAAACTGACATCAGAGCTATCTATGTTCTCGTTACGGAACTCCAGCTTCGAGTCTAGCATCACAGGTGGCTCTGATGTCAGTTTACTAACTCTGGTTATGTGCTCCGAATATATTATTCAATAAATCAAATCGGTAGTGGAAAATTCACTAATTACTCAATATCTGCGATTAATTTATGAACTTTTATAATTGCATCGTGAAGGCAGATCTTTCAAGAACTTTCCAATATACTTTTCGATATAGATTTGTCCCTAATTAATTTAATATTAATTATTATTCTGCGCAGTGTTTGAATTGTTGTCGTAGACGCCATTGGTTTTTCATTAATACTGTCCTTTACGCAATTAATTTATGAAACTTTATGCACTCGTTAGAAAGACAATGTCCTTGCGAATCTTCTCATATAACATTTGATCACATTTTGCTTCTAGTTTCGTTTAGTATTAAATATTTTCACGGAAGATCGTAATGGTCGTCGTTACGAAATTATAGACGCCATCAAACAGAAATTAATAACTAACAATTTAGAGTTAAATTCTTTACGAAAGTTAAATAAGAATGTAGCCTGAAGTTCCAGCTTTGCAAAAAAATTATAAAAGTTCACAAATTGTTTACGGAAATTGAGTAATTAATAATTTTTCACTGCCGGGGCCATCCTATCCCCTCCCTGTCCTTTTCTACCACGTGACCAGCACATCGACGATCTCCTTGCCTATTCTATATTCCTATCACTTTCTTGCTTTTTGAGCCCAAATCATAGATGGCGCTGATCGAAACTGCCGAATTAAAAACCAAGTGACCAGTTGGGCGGGAGAAACAAAACAATAAAAGTCACAGATGAAGATGCGTGGTTTTGTTCTTGGTAAAAAGAAAATGAAACTGCAATGGTTATATGCTTAGGTACTTTTTATTCACTTTGAAAGTTTCACATATACATATTAATTGTTAACGACATAATAAACAATGCCATATAGACATTAGAATCTAAGTAGATATTTGTATTACTCCGTCGTAACTTTCCCAATCGAAATTCCACTCATCGGTGGCTCATAAACTGGGCCGATGAAATACGTCTATCGGTGAGCTTTGCATCGAATTGTTTATCTAAAAAGGCTACATTAAAAACCATGGAAATTTCACTCCAAGAAAATTGAGTATACAATAAAAAAAATAATTTTTATATTTTCGCCACCATATTAATAATTATGAGTAGATTACAGCTACTCCTTCATATACGGATATATTCTCCTACATTCGTTTTATGCCAAATTTATTTTCTGCCATCTTTAACATAATGTTACATAAAAATTAGGGAAAGCATGAGGATATTCTATTATTCAAAATATAAATACAAAATATAATATCAACGAGTAATAGCCAATAATTTATTAATTTTTTCACATTTATTATAAATTTACATCGTGAACAATTTGTTATTAACAATATTAATTTGTTATTAATAATAAATTTGATAATTTATACGTTTTTTATAAACTATAACTGCATTCGCACTTTCACGCGATAAATTTCCATGATACGTATATGTATGTTAAAATATTTTTATTTCCTCTGTATTTTTAGTTAAAATGAAGTATTACACGGAAAGTAAAAAGCAGTCATTCCCTTTTTAAAAGTTAGGTGGGAGTTTATTTTTTAAAAACTATATTAAAGAGTCATTGGTATTTATGTATCGAATAACGAAACTGTTTCAAACTACAAGTGATTTAAAGAAATTTCTTATAATCAAGCGATTAGTATAAAAACGCAAATGAAAACATATACTTACGTGTTATGCATATAAAAATTGAGGTATACTGGACGAGGATTTTGGTGTCGATTACGCATGACTACAGCCTTGGTGGCGGTAAAATCCGGCTTACCGATATATGAATATTTTACGGTCCTGTCAACATTCGAGATCATCCTAATATCATTTTTCGATGATTTCTTCTCCAAAAAAGCTTACAGAATATGTTACTATGTAGCATATTCGTGATAAAATTTAGATGAAAAATTTTTCGTAAAAGTTCAAGAACATGCGTAGAAAATAGGCTCGGGGGCTTATTTTTAAAGATTGATGACTAATTATAATTATCCAGAAGCACAAATAATTATAATTATGAACATCAATAAATCAGGGATACTCTCATCTAACTTGTAAGACAACATTGAACCTCCTAACGTTCTTATTTTTTATGTAACAGTTCACGTTAGCAAAAAGCCTTGTTTTTTCAGAAACACTCACATTTTTCGGAAACTGAGGATGATAAAGCAATTTCGATTATGGATTCGAGTTCGGGAACGTAAACTTTACAAGAATCATCTAATGGATATAGTAGATTAAAATTGGTATTGAACAGTGTTATTAAATGACGAGTATTTTTATTTATATTATATTTGTATTTTATATTGTTTCACACGTGGAACCTTTTGATTTAGTATGATAAATAAAAGTAAGCATTTTTATGAAGGTTACTAGCCATTTTATTTTATTAGAATACGCCAAAGTTTCTTTGACTAAATTAGAATTAAATATCATACATAATAATATGGCATCGTCCCGCTCGCAAAACGAAATTATACCACACACAAATTACACGACAGAAAAATCTCGTATTCAGAAATCATAAAATTGATTCTGTTGAAAATCATCAAAACTCGTAAAATACCTACATCGATACGTTTTATTGTATTTTATCGTCTCGTTATTACGCATATATCGACGATTTTGTGTTGCTTTGAAGAGATAGATCATCGACAGTGTCGAATGCGGAAGAATGAATAAAAATAATTTAATTATAAATTAGCTTAACAGACTTACGTTAATCCTACGATATTGCAGTCAACAATACATAATCGACGATTCATACTAATGTTACATACAATTTATGCTGTTTTCCGTGTCGGTAGTACAACGACGATCGCTTTAATTTTCGAGATTTTCGGACATCGATAAAGCTGCACTAATCGTATTTTTTTCTTTTTCTTTTCTTTTACAAAGTGGTTCTTTAAGTATTGTACCTTGCTATTCTTCCTTTTTAATAAATTATGTTACATTTTCATTTTGCCCTACGTCGATCTTTGTCGATTTTTATTCGGTGAATGTATTTTAATGATCCCAAGATAAGTGGTTCAAAGTTTAACATACAAATTCTATAGGACAGTAGAGTAGAACGGTAAACTAACGTTTTTAAAGAAGATTAAATACATAGATCTAAAATTGTCATGTGAAGAGAAAGGTACATGTCTTGCTAAATAAAATATTAAAAATTTATTTCGTTTGTTGCTTCAATTTGTAATATTTCAATTGTACTTTTGAAAAAAAAAAGATGATATTTGTTACATTCCTTGATAGATTCGTAAATATGTCTTTTAATTTAATCTTGAAGGTAAAAGAAAAAATGTACAGTACACGCATGTTCCTCGGTATTTAAAAATATCATTCATTGATCCTTTCATTGAACAAATCGGATTGATCAGAGAGCGAGTTTATATTCGATATTTCCAGTGGAATCATATTTTTATTTTTACAGCATCAAAGTAAAATAGTTAAACGAATCTACTTACAAATTAATTTCATTCAAAAGATAATTATCCATTTGAATACGAATTATTTAAACTTTACCATTAAAAAAAAGCCCTCACAGTCGCGGTAGATCAACAAAAATGACCAATATTAACATTCATTCTGGAAATCTTATTTGCTCGTGTCAATAAATCTTAGAAACATAGATCCACGAATACCAAACATAAACCCAACCCAACTCCGTCATCTATTTATACTCATCGATCAATCGATTCTTCCAACTTTCTCTATTTTAGCCTCTATTCTTTGCATTCAAAAATCATCATAATCTTCGACGTCTCTCTGCCACCAACTTTACTCCATCTCCTATCGTATCGAAAATTCTCCCAAATCCAGACGATCATCATAGCCTCTATCGCCAGATCTTGAAACCTTCTCCTGTTCCTCCATTCTCCCATCGTCCATTCGCAGCTCCTTAAATTTCCTTGTTCAGGATGATTCCGCAGGGTTGAACCACGCCGAGATTCATCAATTTCGGCCTCTTCGAGGTGCTCTTACCCTCGTCTTTCTTCAGAAGCTCCTCTATCGAGTAAGGGTTCCTCTTTCTCTGAGGTTGCGGCGGTCTACCCTCGACCGCCGCTTCTTTGGCCATGGTGCTCTGTTCGTTTCCGGTTTCCAGTGTTCGCGGAGACGCTATCTTCTGCTTGTCAGTGGTCGTCGGTGGTGGACTCTGTCGGTTCTCGAGGTTTCCGGAGGCACCGGACGTACTGTGTCTCACAAACGCGCTGCGGTCACTGCCAATCTTCTGTCCGAGTTCCAGGATTATGGGCGAATTCTGGAACGGCTTGTAATGGTCCTGGGACTCCGTGTTCTCGTCTAGGTCGCTCTTGTCCAGCGAGTCGTCGCTGCCAGCCATCGAGCTCGAGCTCGACTTCAAGTCGACCTGGTTCGTTGGTCCGCTCTGTTCCGACAGACGTTCTACGTCTAACGATCTGGAAAACACAGTTTTTCCTTATTGCTTGTTCCTTAGGGACTGATTTATTGGAACGTCGACATTTCTCGAAGTCTAAAAAAGTCTTCGAGAATTCGCTATTTCTCATTTTCGCTTTATTTTTATATAAACAAAATATAATAATTACAAATAGAAATAAGTAGCGAAATTTGTATACAGACACTTGAGTGAAGTATTATCAAAGAACATAACAGTTATGATATTATTTCCATCATTAGCCCTACTCTATTAGATCACTTTTTCGTGATCATAAGCTATACAATTCATGGAACTATAATTATATTTCACACGTTTCAGCATGCAGAAAATTCGAAAAATTTCTAGAACTTTTATATAATTTTATGGCAAATAGAATAGGTATATAGCGGTTAACTAAAATTAGATGCTAATTCGATGCATAATTTTTTAAATGTCTCTATACAAATTTCATTATTTATTTCTATATATATAATTATTATATTTTACTTATATAAAAACAAAGTGGCTCTTTCGCGCGTGTAATATCACTATCTTATCAAATTTATTAAGGAGACACTGGGCCTTCCGCATTAAAAAAAGCCAGTGTCCCTGTGCGAATTTCGTTCTATTTACTCCTTCGTAAATTTTACATCTGAGTCCTCGATAAACATCAATGGCTGTTCGTTTTTCGACATTCAGCGAAAGAAATCCGGCCGAGAGATATTCCAAGTAAAAATATCGGGTAAGCGAGTTGGACTTACGTGAATGATTGCATTCCGTGATGCAAATGCAGCGTAGTTGCCTGATAAAGAGACGAGTAAAAGCTCGGATTCCAAGATGGCGCGCTGGTATTGCCGGAAGTCGTGGAGATGTGCAATGGTCCCAATGTTCCCGGATAAAATAATTGGTAGTCCGTTCTCATGAGCGCGTCTGCAGGGTTGAAGGTAAAACGTATCGTTAATACAATGTAAATTGAACACGAGTTATCGAGCGATACTTCATTAATATTTAACGCTTTTCTCTACGGGAACGCGGTGCGAAATGTGCTAAAAATCGTGTCAAGTCGGAATCCCGCGTTTCATTGCTCCTATTTGCCATTGAACCGGTCATTACGTTAAATGACCACATTACACGAAATGTACAAGGTTTATTGCAATCTTAATGTCTACATCTTCGCGCACGTCACTTTAAATTAAATCGACATGCGGCATCGTCGTGCATGTAGTACCTTAGGCGAACAAGACGGACAGGAGAAGATGATTCATTCTTTCCGATGACTAATTAAAGGTTCCATTTTTGTACTCGTGTCTCTCTCGTTTTCCATACAAATATTTCGCAGTGTGTGAGAAAAGTATCGGCGTATTATACTAGGAAACTCTCGTTTTAATTTCTTAATTTTTACGAAAATTAAGAAATAATAAATTAATAAATAATTAATACACGTAACGACTTTTTCTCTCACGTAACATCACTCTAACCAGATGAAATCAGTAATTGAATTTTCAACGCTCTTCTCGCTTTTTTAAATGCATCTTTGTAATAGTATAATACAAGATACGGCAAAGCTTTTTTATACAAAATGTGTTTAATTTCGAATGCTCTATCGATGCATCGTGAAACAAATTCCGAGGAAAGATTTTAATCAGAACACGAGAAAATACTGAAACTTCGAGGGCTTATTTGGCTTTCGTAAAGAAACTGTTTCACGTAGAACTCATTACGCTTCGCATGTACATAAGCTTTCGTTAAAATCGAAATTTTCTGGTTACACGAATTCCCTCGTAACATGGCGTTCTAACGCTTCTTTTATCCATTGTATGTCTGTTCAAAACGAAATTAATTAATCGTAGATAGTATCAGTCGAAGCTTGAAACCGGTCCGATGATTTTCACTCGAGAGAAGATCGAGATCGTCGATGTGTTTAATGTGTTTATCATAATCGTTAAAACGCTAGAACCAAGTGCACGTAGGACATAAGTGCAGCGCACATCAGGAGCGTAATTGGCACTGAGATGAAACGAAACACGCGTGGTGCAACTGGATGGCTGATCGACAGAAATTTCGTGACAGAGCCTCATCTCGGCGTTATAGGCGATTTACGGAATAAACGAGGTAAATTTCGAGGCGAATTTCGAGTTCCTTCGAGGGATTGCGTGTCGGTGATCTAGCCGCAGCATGCTGACGAGTCAATCGGCCACAGGGTATTTTGCGAATTCTCCTTTTTCAACCGTCCTTCTCCTTTCCCTCTAATAATCGTTGCATCTCCGCGACGTTCCCTATGCAACCGAATCGCAAAAGGGGAAAAACAATGGGAAAGAAGCCCGACAGTGATTCCGAGATACGGACAGATGTTTAGGGGATCGTTAGCCGGTAATGGCGCACTCGCGACGCAGCTTTCCTTCGTATAATGAGCCGATTTTGACGCGAGGGAACGCGAATCGGTTTAGAACGTGTCTACGACCATTCTAGGATCGACGATCGACTGATACTTTGTTGTGGTAGTTCCTACGATTCCTACAATTGCGAGACGCTCCTCGGGAATTCGCGCAATTACGCGAGACCACGCCTCGAATGATTCGATTTTCGAAAAACGATGCGACATGCCCTTCTACATAGCGCAATTGCATTCTGAGATACTACATTTTAAAAAATTCTATTTTTCTACGTTTTTATCGAAATACGAATTAAATTTATATCATCTTTAGTGGAGAAGCTTAAAACACAAAATTTTGTGTAATTGACCTGTGCTTAGTAGATGAAACGCATCAGAAATTTTGAGAGATTAAGGAGCTCGAAATTTCGTCGACTTTGGCCTTTTGGTAGAGTGAAATATGCTGTGCTACACTTTGAAAATTGCACTTTGGCCAGCTTTTCGGCGCTTTGGATCACTGTGCGACGTGGTGACTCGTTCATGCGGATCTTCGTGTCGATTTCCGGTTTTATTTGTGCATTATCGCGTATACCACGGATTTATTAATTATCAGACTGTTGAAAATTGCTTATTCCGGAATTTCTATTTTTGTAATAACGAAAGGAAGACGCTACGTTAATTTAAACTAATTTAACATATCGCAGAACTCCGAAATAGAAAAAGTAGCCAATACAAAGTAGACCCACATACGTTCGCCATAAGAAACCGCCATCGATTTAATTATGCAAGCAACTGGTCAATTTAATCATCCAAAATCCTCATACGTCAACGATCGATAGTATCATGATCAACGCAGAATTTATTTATTCGAAAGTGTACATACTCAAAAATACTTCAAAAATGTTAGCCCGAAATACAAATTATACAAGAGCACATAGAAGACATTTGAGGAGTAGCCTTACCTCTATTAGCGACGTTGGAGGAAACTTGCGAAGCGTACGTGCTGGAAGAACCCCTCTCGATCCCCGTGTGATCGGTATGAAGTCCACCACCCCGAAGAATTCGATTTACCGAAGAGATGGAGGGCAAGCTCTGCGGATCGCAGGCTCCCTGTCGCGCGAGCTGCTCTCGGATCTCCCAGGCGAACATCGTCGGCTGTTCCTGCTTCATTCGTAGTATCTTCTTCACAACCGTGGGGGTGGCCACTTGCTGCAAAACGGATAAGAATCGCGAGCTTAAACTCGGCTCTTCGACGATCGAGATTCGCAATTAAACCGCGCGTGGATCGCGTGTCTCGAAGTGTCTTTGCTCTTTAAACATGGCCGGATCTCGCGAGATTCCAGGGTGAAAAAAGACAAAGAAGGTGTGTCAAAGTAATTGCCACGGTATCTTCGTTGCTCGATGTCCAGATCGGGCTTGTCAACTTTATCGAAAGGCCATACTTAGAGTCTAAAGATACTCCGGCGTAGTAGATGCCAATTAAGCGGGCTAAATTTGGGAATTTAAGGTAAAATAAAGGAAGGGACGAATGGCAGTCACTCGCCTGATATCCCTGAAAGGGTCGATTTATATCGCGCTTATTTTCGAAACTTTAAACGCCGCTGTTCGCGATACTCGTCGCGATATGACCAGATGTTATCGATTCGATATCGGTTCTATGCGTTCGTGATTTCTTTCCTCTCTTCGTTTTATCTCGGCTGTTACTTTTTGCTGGAAGATAGGAAAGGGAGATAAGAGAGAACGGAAGCTAAATGTATTATACGAGCGTGTTCGATTTCTTTCTTCGCGAATGAGGGATGCAAATGCCACACCTGCAAGGTCGTACGATGCAGAGATTCGAGTGAGTGCTTATCGCTTGTTTGTTTCTTGGTGACGTAATGTCCCTTGTAATTACGCTTCTTTTTATCTTCGTGTATCTTTCTTAGTATCTTCTCGGTTTGTCTTTTCTTATGGGTCATCGAATTTTGATCCATGAATTGGCAATTCTTTTTACAAATTTTACCAACTCTGGGCTAGACATCCAAGATCCACTTGTAAGATCCTAGATCCAAGCGTGGAACTAAAAATATACTTTATCTTTTATAAACAAATGAAATTTCGGTGATAGAAGACTTGACAAGCACCCAATAAAGATAAGGGGAAAAGCTGTGTCAGTCCTGGTCCACGTATCCAAGATCCATCGATCGAGCCACGATCATCCCCATGGGCCGGCGCAACGGTTCCACGATGGCGACCGTTGCCGATCATTAGCCTGGTCATTTTTCCTTCCGGCCGGGAGTCGGCGCTATCTCATCGACAAATTAACGCGAAAGTGGTCACACTGTCGTCGAAAGGGGCAGCAGTGACCATATGTCGTTCACAGGTGAAGCACGTTGGTGCGCTGGTGAATCAGATAACGGGTAAGGTCCCAAAGGTAGGTGGGTAATGCGTACCGCACTTTATTACAGTTTAGCCCCGGTTTACCGAGGAGGCGGGCTCATCTGCTCCTCGCAGACGCGTCCCGTTTCTTTTTGACGGTCCCTCCGCAGTGGGCCCAGTGGTGCTCAATCTGGCCACCGTTCATTTGACTTGCTAATGAACTTCGGCCCGGGCCCCGGATAATTTTATGCTAACGCGATGGAAATGTTATTCGTCGTACACAGATTTTCGAGATCGCCGATTTCTCTGGGGCGGCCACGCCACCGACACCCTGGCAGCACACGTCCGTGTTGTTGCGGCTATTTTCTTGATAGATCCGCGCGGGGGGCGTAGTAATCGAATTATTTTTCCGATATGTCTTCTTCTTCCAGTCGAATTTTGATTATCGGGGTGATTAGAGAAAGTTTCTTACATCGACGATGGAATACTTTCCTCTGAAATCTTTTTCTAACCTACAATTCTATAATAATTACACGGTATTTGGAATATATGATTCTTGACCTTTTTCCATTTTCCCGTGTCTGAAGTTTCCGGATATTGCAACGACGGTGAGGATGTGATCGATGATTTTTGATAAAGGGTGCAAATTGTTGCTAAATATAAGAACCTTTTGTAAAAGGTGCCATTTATTTATAAGTAAATGACTTAGCAAGTGATTAAGTGTCAAATGATAAATACAAACACTGGCAGAAAATCACATAATTAAGAATGAAACTGAGAAAGTTAGTGAAACCAAATTCACCACTTAAAGAAGCGGAAGAAATAGTTACCTTGTCAAACGAATAAAATAACCTACAATTAAAAGTCACTAAATATGTTACACTCAAACGATAACGATTATAGTAGAACGACAAGGATGAGGAACTCTATGCATCATAATTACATTCCTATTCGAGTGAAAACTGCAGTACGCTTCCAGGAGCTGTGAGAACACAATATCCGACACGTTCGATACTTGCAACGTTGACAAACATGATCGATATGCCACTAAGGAAGACCCATGGAGAATCCAATAACGTCTGGTGGAAACAGCGGCGACCTAGCATCGAAGATGGTAAGAGCGTGCATTGAATGGCGACCGATATGCGAGCACCACTGGTGGGCAGGACGTTTAAGGGGGCAGCCGTCGAGCCGTCCGCCTAATAGTTTCAGGGGTTAGGACAAGCATCGCGTGCTCCCGGGAGCATCTCAGATTCTAATCTGACACTTCCGTCGTCATTGCCACAATTACCCCGGCCCACGATATACGTGTCCTAATGCCTACCCTCTCGTACCCTTGAGCGGCTATGCGGACTGGTTCCCGGCCGATCGACGATGTCTTTCGTGTGCGTGCCACACCACACCGCGTCACAAAGGAAATTGGCCGGGCACGGACATCTGGCGCTAAACGTTAGATAACGTAAACTATCGAACAGGTTGACCAACTCGGTAATTACCGCTCGAAGGGGCTGTACTCTGTCGCGTCTGCTATACGCGGCTTGTCCCAATTGTTCGCGATGATAAGACGCACCACGAGCCGGGTTAATAACGTCTTTTTGGGACGGAAACGTCCCTCGACTTCCTTTTCCGTCCGCGATGGGCGCGTTTCGATGTTAACGCTCTACCGCGCCCTTTTCGCTGCAAGATAGATGGCGTACTGGAGTTCCAGGGCACTCGGACGCAGGCTTGGGATACTCGATGCTGATCGAGGTCAAGCAGGCTGTGAGAACGGTTTCTCGAAATGCTTTTCTTCTCGAAATTATTGCGAGTGGTTAACATACAGGCCTTTTACGGCTTTTTCTGCGATTTTTCCCACTGCGATCTTGTGTGAGCGAGATATCTTTCTTCTATTTTCTTTAGTTAAAACCAAGGGAAGATCGCACGAAAACGTAATGGGAAAGGTTTGGTAGGAGTTTATCGATTGCGTATGTTATCTGTGTTCTTTGATTTAAATGATAGAAGCTGATATTGCAACTAGTCAACCCAGATAGTCGTTTAATATTTTCGCGATTTTCATTATTACAGATCCTTTAGGCGAAATTAACGTCGATTTTCTTCTATTCTCTCTTAACTCTGAACACACGGTTCTCACGTAATGCGATGCGAAAATTGTGACGATTCTTTTGTAACACGGTTTAATAAACTTGGAAAACTCTTACAGAAGAGGATTATTATAAAAGACTGTTATAAAAGACACTTTTTTCGGCGTTAATTATTACTATCTGACAATTGTTGAACGGTCATAATCACAGTGCTAATTAGTTATTCGATAACTAACGATAATTAATGATAACTTAACTAATTAATTAGACTCCCAGAGATCTACGTGTTTTTCGAATTTCATTCGGAACGGTATTTCGTATACATCGATTTAATATAATTGCGAGCACATTACCGATCTACGGGCTGCGTTAATTACAAGCTTGATCCGCAAACGGAACACGATTGCTCCCTGTTTGTTTTCGTCGTCCTGCGTCGCTTTATCCGCTGTTACTGAATCATGCAACGAGAAATAAATACTCATCCGTCAGAAAGCTCGTCACCGCGTTCGCGCGAGATCTTAATTGCCAGATAAATGGAAACGCTTTTGCGATCGATGAACAGCAATTGCTAGGGGAAAACGAGCGTCGGCATGCGACAATATTTATCACTTATCCGTCCAGAGAAGTCTGTTGAATGTATCGAATGATCATGCGAAATTAAACGTTCGCAAGCGCGACTATTACAAAACATTATTACTACTCACGCGTTGAAAGATAAATGAACGCGCGAGATCGAAATATTTAGCGCACTAGCTCCTAATCACCTTGCCAAAATTCTAATTGCAAAATATTAATTATCACATATCGTAGCATTTGAACAGCCAAGTATTAGGTATACCATATCGAAGATATTTCTATTATCAAAACATTTGCGTAAAATTGATATAAAATACATCGAATATTAAAATATAGGCACGAAAATATTTCCACGATGCTAAGATTTACACGGAACGCAATGAAACGAAAGCACGCTGTATAATTTTCAATGTGTTTCGAGATTAATACTATAGATGCAAATTGTTGTATACCCTCTTTAATAATCCATGAATAGTTTAGCCATAGTGAATATTTTTAAACACAAATTTGGTTCGTTTGCATGAAGAGCGAGTGCACAAAGTGATAACAGAAAGACAAAGTTGTTATTTGAGAATAAAAATATTCCTCAGATATTTCCATCCGCACTCAGTCGTGTTAGTTTTAGAAGCAAAATAACTATCAATATTTATGGTACTCGTGAAAATATTTCAAGAAAAGTAGTTTCTTTCCCGATATTTTTACATGGGATCACGCGATATGAATCTTTCCTTGTAAAATCAAGTTTGATTTAATAATCGATTAAACACGATTTTTTCTACAAAGATACAGAGATACCGCTTTGAAGTTGCTCGAGAAGCACGGAAAACACAGGCTGCACCGTCATTTTGTCGCGCACGGCGAATACAAGGTACCCGATTACGAAATTTAAAACATAGTTATTAATTACCTCAACTACCAGGACCTCCGATGAACCGTTTCAGCGTCTCCGCAAGGTAAATACTTCCGAAAACGAACCACCCGTACGAAATATTTCAAATTACATACCCGAACACGCGAGTGAAACGAAAATCATCCGAAAAGGGAGGGAAAAAGGAAGAGACAAAAGAGATAGAACGGAAAGGAGACTTTCGCGGAGCGAAAACTCGAGAAAAGAAGAGAAGAAGAAGCGCCGACGGTGAAATTCCCGATGTAAACCCCTTCACCTCGCAACGTGTAATTTCGCGTATCTTAAAA